CACAGGGGAGGGAGAAGGTTAAAGAGCAGAAGGAAGGAGGGACGGGACCGAGAGAACGTGAGACGGAGAGAAAAAGTGCGGGAGGATGAGAAGGAGAGGAAGGTATTTGAGAGATAAAAAGAGGTTGTGCGCGTGACCTTGTGCCCAAATGCCAGTTTCTGATGCCAGTTTCAGCCAGTCGATTACTTCTCTCGCAGAGGTTGGGTTTGCATAAGCGTTAAATCGCGGTCGTTACACGAAGAGAGAGAGAGAGAGAGCACGTAATTGAACGCATTTGGAGCAGAATAACAGCGCGAGATGTCCACTAGGGTCTCGTCTTCGCGGGACAAAAAGAGCAAAACAACAAGTTTTGGCAGCAAGGGTGGCGAAAGACGCAATGATTATGCGAGGATGCGGCGCAAGAATAGGATGTTTCCAAGTATCGAGCTACAACTGGTTCGAAATGCATTTTTGCAAATCAAAGAGCCAATAGTGTTTGGGTGATATTTCATTTTTACGAAATTTTTACTTAAATCGCAGCGCTAGAACAATTGCCTTTCATGCAAATTGCCCCAATTAGTTGAATCGGTGTACCAATTAATCAATGGTCCACTTAGGCAAGTCATTAAGACATCGATCTTGATAAAGAAAAAACCAAGATGGCTAGATTAATCTGATTTGCATTCTGAAACGGTAATCTCACCGGAACTGTTATTCCGTTATCGCGCAACATAAAGAGGAGCATCGAAAGGAGCGTAGGTATATGAACGCGTGTCTCCGGGAAGTAATCGTCACGGCGATGTTGCAGGAAATTCCAGGAAGTTTCGAGACTCGAAACGTGGCCGAGGGTCGCGTGATATCGGCAAATGCAGCAGCGCAGCGTCGCATTCCACGACGTCTCGTGCGAATAACCGATCGCAGCCGATCCGTATCTCCGCTTTATCGAGTTTCCAATTTCACCTGTTCGTTATACGGTAACGAGCGATTACTTCTCCCGGCTAACTCCGTAACAACATCCCTCATCGATATCCCGAGTAAATTTGCTGTTTAATTTGCCGACAGCTTTCACAAAGCGAAGACCGATAACTCGTCCAGCTTCGTTAATACGCGACGTTAGCTCGCAACATTATTATTGTGTAACTATATAAAACGCGGTTTTGCTTCTTTAGCCGGCGAGATTATTTTACGAGAGGAAAAAAGACTGCGAATTTTGTTTACATCTTTTCTCCTTTGTTCGCGATATAACGTTATATAATTTTCGAATAAATATTCCGCAAACATAATTAAACGCGAACTCTTTGATGAAATCTTTTGTTAACTAATTTCCCAGAGCGAACGGAGCTGCGCTGCCGACATCCTTTCTCGGAACGAGAATAATTTCATCCGCGCACGATTAATTTCAACCATATACCTTTGTATTCGGGAGCGCGTTTCAAGTCTCGCGTGACTCATCGCCGAGAGCGAGATTGAGCAGAAAAACGATGCATCGATCAATCAGGCTTTAATACCTCGTGATCGAGTGCCACCGGCTCCGGCGGGATCCCAGAAGAGAGAGAAGATGAGGCGCGCACAAGAACGTGGGATATCGATCGCCGAGGGATGGGCCGCGATAGTTAACCTTCGTCGCTACACCGATGGTCATTAGGGTAACTCTCTCACCGCTTTCCTTCTTTTTGCTACACTCCCCTTCGTGCGGATCCGCTTGTTCCTCTCGATGAGAGAGAGAGAGAGAGAGATAGAAAATCGTGAACGCCCGCGGATGCTATCGGACGGCTTTGGCCTTGAAAATATCTCGAGGATACGATTAATTTGTCTGCCGACAAACTGTTGCTTCCAATTTAATCGGTCTAATTCCCGCGGAATATAAATTCGCCGCGATTCGTGCACGTTCTCGATTTTAAATATCATATTATTGTTATATACGAGAAAAAGAATTATTAGGAATTGTTGTGCGATAAAAAAGCGTAAGGTAAATATTATTTTTTCAACAACGAAATTTGAGAGGAATTTTATACAAAGTTTTATTTATCGATACCTCATCAGTCTTGCTAATCTATGTATTTTTAATATATTCTATAATTTTTAGCAAGAATTTAATACGTGCGCGCGCGCGGGATTTTTATTATTTCCTTCTGCACTATTATAGACCGGATGTTGGCGATAAAAATCTATTTCTTTACATCATGGGATACATGTATGAATATTTTGCACGACGATAAATAAGTTGAAGATTAATTTAGGCACACATCTGCCCACGCGAACAAATACGATATAATGAGACGACTGAATACATACGTTTTTCTCTAATTTACTCGAAATAAAACATTCGTAAAAATATCCGAAAAAAATATTCGTCGTAATCAAAATCCAACGTCGTCAAAATATTCAGGAATGATATTTAGAGAGACTTGACATCAACTTAATGTTACATATTAGTTGCTTTCCATTTACATCAAAATTCAGATAAATCTTACTTTTGTCTTTCTTGAACATGAATGTTGAAGAAAGATAGAAGTGAGATTTATCTGAGTTTTGACGTAAATGGAAAGCAACTATTGTCAAGTCGTCGTACGTCCTCTCGGCAACGACAGACGTTGTAGGAGGTCATCATCGTCGTCTAGCTTGCCAACCTAAACCCTCCCGCGCCACCTTTTTCCGCCTGGCCTCTCTCGAGAGGAACTTTAATATCTCAGTCACGCTCTCCCGGTTCACGAACTATTAATTATCCCTACCTAAATGCTTGTTGAACTCGTCGCGTGGGTCAGGTCGATGGATTTGTTATGAGGATTAACTTTAGTGACGCGTTAAAAGCAGTCGAGAGAAAAAGAGACGCTAGATTCTCCCTTAATCATTTGTGAAAAATCTGACGAACAAGAAAATATTATAGAGAAAAAAAAAGAATTGATCCACAAGATATTTAAAAAATACATGACATCCGATGTCATTTTTATAAAGATAAAAACGATGCTCATATCGCGTCAAAATATGACAATCTTTTTTTAAGAACGCAAATTCTGTCAGATGATTTTTTTATTCAAAATGTCAAGATATCGATATAGGTTTTTTTTCTATTTGTGGAAATAATCTTGTCACACGATAACGGCTCTATATTTAAATTATTCATAATCTAAAGTTTACAGTCACTTTGAAACTTTCATAACTTTAGCATAGGATTTACACGCCACTTGTTTCAATCAATACCTCGCTAAATGAAACAGATATGTGATCATTGACAGACGTAAAGTCATGGCCGACCAAGTTTTCTTTGTTTCCACTCGGAAAAAGCATATAAAAGTTTTACGCTTTTAGAAATAACTTCTTAGGCGTCAAACTTTAACTGCGGATAACTGTAAAATGGAACCGTTCGAAAGAAAAATTTATCGATTGTAATAACTATGTAAAAAGTATCCCGCAGACTTTCTGCTACGAGATAAAAAAAATTCTTCAAATATTAAAAAAAAACTCAGAAATTTAAATCTGATTCGATCATTAAATATTGAGATAATTATCAGTTTCACTTTCTATTAATTTTTCAGAATAAACTTGCGACAGAGTATAATCGAAATCGCATCGAAGCGACACCGAAAGTTTTGGCGGACGGCCTTCGGCGAGGTCAAGCAAGACTGGCAGGGTCATCGACACGTGCCGATCAACGACGGTGTCGTCGGTGTAAGTGAGTGTTGGTAAGTGTCCCACCGGTTTATTTATACGAGCCGAAGAGCGACGGTTTCGGGTCACCGCCTCGTTGTCGGCGTGCCGAGCGAATGATGACTCGATTACTCAAACGAGCCTCGGCCGAGCTCTATCGCGATAATCCGCCGGAAGTCGGAGGAGCGACTCGCAGCTGGCGCCCGGAAACGCATGCAAATACACACACGCGCGTGCGCGTGCGCGCGCGACGTGGCCGACGAGAAGCCGTCTACCTCTTTCCTCAAGCGCGTCTCACTTTGTGACTATCCTCTTTTCTCTCCGCGCACACGGAAAAACGAGAATGGCGAATGTACGTGTATATGTACGCGTATAATACGCTTTGACGTAGTCACGCGAGGATCGAACAAAGAGAGCCCGATGGCTAGAAGCGACGGCGAGAAAGCAGCCAAATGCAGCTGCTTCAGCGGTCGGTCATCCACTTCCACGACAGTCTCATTTCCTCGCGAATCCACCGGTCAGTTGGACGTTTTTATTATGCCCGGACGAATTATGCTTATTTCGGAAGAGAATTTTTAAAAAATCGCGAATGCGAGACATGACTCGCAATATTGTTTCTAATATTGAATCAAAGTGTCATTGACAAACATACGTTTTATGTCGAGGTTATCGACGAGGTATGAGGCGATTAACTGAGAGGGAAAAAGAAATCGCGATAAGTAGACGCGATCTCGTAGCAGATCGCGACGAACGACACGAGTCGGAGAAAAAGTGATTAAGGCTTATTGTTGGACAAGATTATTGGCATAACGTATAGTCACGATATCATAGTTTAATGCATTGTTATTGTGTGCGTACTTGAAACCGCCCGTGCATGCGCCAGCACTATTGATGGCGCGCGTAGTCGAGCGGAAAAATAGTTGAGATGGATAAAGTTTTTATCGTCGTTGCATATCGCGTTGCAACTATCAATTGACCGGGCTGATTATAGCAGACGCAATAAAACGTCAAACGCCTTTTACGGCGCCGTTTATCGAGGCACGGATCTTACTTTCGATTCGCGTAAATTCTCAAGCATTTTGTATCGCGCGCTCGGGAAGAATTAATTATCCTTAACCCGAAATAAAAAGAAAATAGAAAAATGAATTGAGATGAATTTAAAACAATCCATTTCATGTAATATCGAATATCTATATTAAAATATCGTTAATAATTTTTCATTTCTTTAAAGAAATAAAGATCCACTTTTTCATTTTAAACGATTTCATTGATAAATTTTCGTAAAAAATGTAAAAAAAAAAAAGTGAATTTGAAAGACAATTTTTCTCATTAATTCATCAATTTTTTGGCAAGCAAAGCAAAACGTGACTCACCGTAGCATCCTCTCGTGACGGTCCCTCTCGAGCAGCTCCTCCGGACTGGGTGGTTGCGGCGCCAGGAGAGTGTGCGACAACGGCGGGTAGGCCCTGGACGAGATAGGCCTCCAGATCATCTCCGGAGTGTAGCCGGGCGGCGCCGTGCCCGCGGAATTGGCGGGGGCGTTCGGAGCGCCCTGGGGATGCGCCATCAGCAGAGCCGTATGTTGGATGCTCTGCACGTGCCAGACTCTGGCCGGGGCGGCGGCTGTGGCTATCGCCGCTGCTGATGGTGCCGAGGACGACGTCGTCTCCTCGACGCTGAGCGCCGAGCTCCTGCTGCCGCTTCTCTCGTCACCGGAGCCGGCGCTTCTCAGCGAGCTTACCCCACTGTCCGAGCCGCTGTCGCCGTAAGTGCCGGCGACGCTGCTGTTGCTGCTGTTTCCCGACGTCCGTATGCCGCCGACCGACGCGGACACCCCAGCGAGTACGCCTGCACCAGGTATACCGGCCCCGGCCTCCACCTCCATGAGGCCGCCGCCGGCCTCATCGCCACCCCTCGATGTGTGAGACTGTTGTTGCACCTCGAGGAGGCTCGACGGGGTCAAGTGAGCGGCGGGATGGTGATGGTGTTGATGCGAGCTGCTCGTTAACTGATGGTGATGATGCTGCGGCGGCGGCGGTGGTTGCTGCTGCTGCTGGTGGTGATGGTGAATCACTGGACTGCTAGCGGAATACCGCTGTTGATGGTGCTGCTGGTGTTGGTGGTGATGATGATACTGTTGCTGTTGCTGGTGATGCGGCTGATGATACGACTGCAGATGATGATGGTGATGGTGATGGTGACCGGCGATCGGCGGTGGCGGCTTGTTCAGTCTCTCGGCAAGGATGACCGGGCTCTCGTTGTGCCGACTTCGCTCCTGCTCCCGCTGCTGTTCCAGGAGCAGGCTGCTCTGCCTGCCGGGGCCGCCGCCGCCGCTGCTACTAAGCGGACTCAGCCTCTCCAGCACGGAGCCTGAGTCCTGACTACTCGATTCCAGCAGTTCGACGACCGATTCGACGCTGGCCGCCCTCGCGCCGCCGACGCTACCCACGCTATCCTCCGTGCCTAACTCGGTGGTCAGCTCCGTACGGCGCGACCGTTGCGAGCCCACCTCTTCCTCGCTCGCGTTCTCGTCGCGTTCGTCCTCCGCCGCTGCCGCTGCGTCCTCTCCGTCCTCTTCAAAACCCTTTGCCTTAGATCGTGTCGTCGACTTCAGCAGCGACGGGCTGTCCTCGCGGATGACATTCGTCTTATCGCTGACCAGCGGCGAATCGACGTGCAATCCATTCACGAGTAACTGCGGTGGCTGCTGTTGCTGTTGTTGTCGTTGTTCCTTGCACTCGCCGATCTTATCTCGATCGACTGCGTCCTTTCTTGATTCCGACTTGTTACCCGACTGTTGTTCCTTGGAAGCTGGACTACCCCCAGGATCGACTTTATCCGGAGGTGGCGGCTCGGGTTCTCTGTCCCGTTCTCTGGATTGGCTCTCCTCGTTCTCCTCGAGCTTGTCGACCTTCTTCTCAGCCCCGTCGTGTTTTTTCGCACCAGCTTCGGCGTCGTCGTCGTTGTCGTCTTCTTCCACCACCACCTTCCCGGCCCGATCCGCTGCAGCTTCCTCGGAGTTTTTGCCCTTACTACTCTCGGATCGGAGCTTTCTGCCGACGGGGCTTGTTCTTAGCCGCTTAGTCAATGGATCGCAACGTTCCGGACTCTCAGCATTCTCCCTTTCGAGAGATCGCTCTTCCTCTTCCTCTTCCTCCTCTTCCTCGGATCTGCTACCGAGACGCTCGTCGGCCTTGTCGGCTCTCGCGCCACTTCCGGTACGATGGTGCTCCGCGGACTCTTCCTCCGCGCCTGGCTTGACCTCTTGGCCGCTCCCTGGCCTCGGTCTTCTTCGCACCGGTCTCTGATTCTGTACCGGAGCCTGATGGTCGGCGGTCGGACTCTTTACCGCGGCGCCGCGTCTTCGTAGCTTCGAGGCGCTTCCGGACGCACTGTTCGCCTCTTCCAACACCGGTCGTGCTACACGATTGCCGACTTTGCCCGACGGCGGACCTTTATTCTCTCGATCTTCCTGTTGCCGCGTGGATAACGCCGCTTCTGTCGAATCCTTTTCGGTCTTCTCACGACTAGCACCTTCGCTCACGCGTCGACGTCGGTTGTTACGGACGTTATTCTTCTCTGAAACACGAGAGATAAACTACGTGTGACGCGAATGAACATTAAAAGACGAAATTGAATTAGCAAGTAAAACTCGTTTAAAAAATATATATGATATAGTTAATTTATCGAATTCATATTATATTGTCGCAAAAAAAATGTTGTTTAAAAAAAAATATATATATATATATAGTTGATACGTTTAAAAAATATTCTAAACTTATTTTCTCCTACATCTATGTCGTATTAGTAAAACTATAATGCGGGAAAGAATAGCGAATTGTTAACGCAGCTTTAATGCAACTTCTTTCACTTTATGCTCTACTTTTGTAATAGTGAGAGTGTGCTATATAATAGTACAATAAACTTTTATACGATAACCGTATATTATTTCAACTTTACAGCAGCGTCGTACGTGACTTCACAGCTGGACGTAACGAGAGAAGTGACCTTTAACACGGAAGTTTTTAAAAGAGCATTAACGATTTTCATCGCGTGTAATCTTACAATAAATTAGCATCGCGCGCGATTCGAATTTTTTTTTTTCATTTATCCGCATTCAAGGATTCCCGAACATTTACGTATCTAATTCCAGATATTACGTGACGGAAGTTGCTGATTAGATGCGTAAAGAGCCGTCGCAGATCGGCGAACGAGCCGCGTAGCCGCTAATTATTGAAATTATCGATGGTAGATTATCGCGCACTCGATATCCCTGCGCACGAAGGTTATCCCGATATCCTTGATCGGACCGCATAATTGTGGCGAGCGACCGATCGATCCCTACAGCTGTCCGGTGCATCGGCTGTTCACCGTTCAGAGGGATGATGGAGCTGATTTACCGAGGTAATCCCTTTGATGTGCGCAATCAGTGATTCGCATAACTCGGTAACCCTAGGACGCTATATAAAGCAACCCCCCTGGCAACTTGTACAATCCCCCTCCGCCCCCATTCCACCCCTGCTTGGCATTCATCACATAATTCAATACATCAATTTTTGTATATTCTTTCGCGAGTCATTCATCTGTCAAAATTCTATATAAAGTTGTAAGTTCGACAGAAAAGTCAATAAGTCTTCAGATTTTTAAATTACATGTATATTTTTAAAAATGCAGTAAGCAAAGACTTGGACGTTTTCTCATATATATAATAATCCAAAAATATTCTTATCCTCTAATTAACAATTCTTTATAAAATATTTCAAGTTTCGACACATTAAAATAAATCATAACACGATAATGACCATCGATCGAATCGCTAATGATCGCCGTAATAACCGTAAGTTAAAGGATTGTTATTGGTTTAATGTTAAATATCGTTACGTAATTTATTAGACCAGATCTCGTTATTAACGTGCGATCGTATATATTATCATCCCAGATGTTTCGGAAGCTAGCAAGCTCGGTAAAGCGGTAATATATTATCAATCGCGATAATAAATCTCCTCCCTGACCTCGATCGAAAGCCATCGAGAAGGAGCATCATTACATCCGAGGAATCGTGCGGCAATTCAACCGGGTTTCCGGCTCCCGTCGCGTCAATCCGGCAACCGGGTTCAAGGGAGTTCAAGGGGGTCTTCGATTAACCCAGTAGGAACATGGCCGTTAGCATGGGAGCAATTTGCAACAATGCACGTCATACACATATATATCCATCCCGAGGAGAGGCGAGCGATAGAAATGCATGCTCATGTATATATACATGTATATGCGCACGAGAAAGAGAGAAGAGAGAGAGAGAGCGACTAGCTGGGAATGGAGAGGTGGACAGGTAGAGGAAGGGACACGATGCATAAGCACGCACACACGTGTATGCAGGCAGACGAGCAGAGAGAAGGAGCGGGGAAGGAAGATACAAGAGAGGGATTTATTACTCGGGATTTACTGTTATTACCCGGAGGGGGAGAGTTACTCCAACACCGGCCAATGCATACGTGGGGTGTATTTATCCGATACGTTTACGCGCACACACACGGATGTGCGTGCAACGAGGCACGACGCACGACTGCGCGCATCCCGTTTCCTAGCGACTGCGGTTTGTCGTTCTGTCGTTGCACGGCTGCGGCGTGCATTATATCGCGCGTAATTGAACAGTGATCGCGTATTTGTTTCGCGCTATTGTTGTTCCGCCGCATGTGGCTGTTATTTTCGAAGATGCGATTATCCGCTGTCCCATTAACGTTCGACAGAACGCGCGACTGATGGTAAACAAGATATTGCACAATTAGATTACACACGATTAGATTAAGGCGTGTGTTCCTTTTTATATCTCGTAAGATATGAATTCTTTTTCATACGGTAGATGAAAAAATAGAAAAAATAATTCACACGAACGAGACAAGATTAAGCGACAGAATATATGACGGATTGATAACTTATTGTTAGTGATTTATGTTTAGATTGCGTGATCTTTGTAAAAATGCATCGTGCGAAAACAAATTTGCAAATATCTACCTTTTTATGATTGATTGCAAGTGACATTTCTATAAACATCTTTCTTTAGCACACTGTATGCAGTGTTATTTTTTCGAAAAATATTTAACGGTTCGCAACGCTTTCGCGAAATCAAGTGCCGGAATGGAGGAAAGTGGATAATCCCGGTAGTGAAATTCTAAAGGAAAGTAAGAGGATTCCTTCTTCTCAAGAATTCTCCCATCAGAATATCGAAAAGAAGGATTATGCGGCTAAAGTAGAGAATGCGTTATAAAAAAATATATATGTAGGGTCAGCGACATGCATTTTTATTTCTCTATAATATTCTCATTTTTTCGAAACATATTCTTGTATATCTGTCGTAAAATGACAATTACATAATGGACACGCGCATTTACATTTAAATACGATAACGTCATAGATCGAGACCGAGACACGTTAGAATTATCTTATGATTCTCGGAATATGCGATAACCAGGTTATTAACATGCAACTATTATTTTGCAAAAACATTACGAGATTACATTATATTGATAAATAGTACTGTTTGTATGTAGGTATATGACACAGATTAGATATTTATATCGAACAACGAAAAAACACTCTTATACTAGCAAATGTAGAGTGTAATGTTAGTCACTGAATTGTTTTCTCGCAGCATGTTGCATTATGTAAGACCTGCACGTGCGCTTTATTTGCATGTAAATTCTTATCGTCGTGCGTACGAGAGCATGACAAATTGCTTTTGTCCATTAAAACAAGTATGATGAAACGAAAACGAGATATTTTGTCACGAGTTTCACGTACCGATAAAAAATCAAAAAATTTATAACAATAACTTTATTAAAAAATTTATATATATATATATTTATATGATGCATAAATAAATTTTGAGAAATTCATAAATAATTATGTTTAATTGTTCTACTATTAGAATTATCTTTATGCGACCTCAAGTAAAGATAATCGATTAAGTGTATGCGCGTGCGACTAAAAAAATGCTAATTATTTTACACTTCAAAAAATTCGCTAAAGCGAATCGTATCAATCGACGCGCGTATCTCTCTTGCGAGAGAAAATCTCCAATCTCCATGATCGAGAGCTGTTTACATGACCTTGCATCCCGCTCGGCCGCGTGGAAAGAGTGGAGGGCTTTAAAAGCGCATGACCCTTCAAAAGGGCCGGTCGTGTGAAAAACAACTCCTACGCCGGTGCTGATGCTCTTTGTCACGAGGGACAATGGTGCATCCCTAGTTTGATAGGCATCGTCAGCATACCCCGAGTTACAGGGGTGTGGAATTAGAATGCTTGGGCTGCCTCGCTAGGCATTTAAACCTTTGTCAAAATCAACGCCCCGTGCAGACAAGCGGGCAGGTAGGGTCTTCGAGCTCTCTCTCTCTCTCTCTCTCTCTCTCTCTCTCTCTCTCTCTCTCTCTCTCTCTCTCTCTCTCTAACAAAACATCATCACCCTTCCCTTTCTCTCGCCTTTCTCCGGTTCTTGCCAAAGCCCTTTCTCTCGCACATCGACTGCGTTATGTCGAATCCGCATTCTGTGTGCCATTAGTTTCAACGCAGGTATCAGTCACTGCCATCCACTCTATTGCCTCTCGAAGCTTTGCATTACCTACATACCTATCTATTTACGGAAAGAGGACGAGAGAGAAAAGTATGTCGTTATTTATTAGAGATTGAGTGAATAATAAATGCGGTAAATTATTATTTTTAAACACAGAGAGATAATTTTTTATTCGCGAGAAATAACTTCTCTCGATGAATAAAGGTATACCTAAATTCTGTTTCATTTAAACTTCTAGACTATCAATTAATTATTTAAACAGATAACTTTAAATCGCTTTATCATTTATTCGCGTTCTTCCATTCGTAACTTTTATAATACTGAATTTTACATCCGTTTTACTAACTTGTTTCTAACGGTTCCTCAAATTTTCTGGTACAGATCCCGGATGTTAAGCGCTTAACGTACCGCATCCCATTCGCGCAATATCTCGCATGCGAACTTCGCATGAATAATGGATAGAATTAGACAATCGCTAAATACGCGGCATGAATACAAAGTTTTATGCGTATGTTAATCGGATCGCTGCGCAATTGTCAAGATTGCCGTTGATCGCAAAATGTAAAAAAAAAATATACATACCGCAAAACTCATATTATCATTCCGAATTGTAATTTAGATCTCGGATTTTAATATGCAACAGAGTACAGAAAGCAATAAAATGTCGTCGCACAAAATTATATTATATATGTAATAACTGATTTAACTAATACGGTACTTTGGATAATCGAGTTGATCAATTAAGCGCATTTGGGGGAAAACCAAATAATGCCGTTGCATACGGGGCATGCGCCTGTATTAACTACCCTATGTAATGAATTACATAGGGCAGTTAATACATACGCAGATATCAAAGGGCGACGCAATGTTTGCGAAGGAGAATCGCATAGTTTCACGGTGAACTAAATACTTCATTAAAGTTAATTACACGATATAGATTTATCTGTTTGCATTCGTATAATTATTACTCGTATCCTAAATTAGGATATATTTACCTATTTATATTTGAATA